ATAACTAACATTCAGATGATTATCTGCTGGTACATTTGAGGACTGGGCATAATAAAAGTGAACTGCCAAAACGTACTTAACACTTTTAATTTTGTTGGGTCTTGCATGTAAGCTACATTTGATTTTCAAACTGTTTTACAGTTGGAAAGTTGATCAGGTACTGCTAACTCAAGAGCAAAGCTGAGACTAAATAATTAGCACTGCATAAAATGGTTTGGATCCAATGAGAGCCAAATCAAATAATAAAATTTAACAGTAAGATTTTATATGTGATTTCCAATTTCTTTTATAATTTCTAGGTGGAAAAGACAGTAGAGATTTCAAAAACAAAAATCCCCTCAAAATATCTTAATGTCCATAATGTACGGCAGGTAAAGGTTTCTTTCTTTCTAACGTAAGAAAGAGCAGAAACATGTTCATTTAAAACCACAGATTCGAATGCATTTTTAGAGATGGAGGGACACTAAATGCATACTTTATATGCCTGCTGGCACTGTGTCTCTCCAACCTCTCAAAAAAAAAAAAAAGACATGATTTTTTTTGTCCTTTACCAATAAATATCCCTAATTCTTCACCAAAGAGATAAGAGAACAAATACTTGTAAATACTCTTTTTCCAATAAATGGCATTTTTATACTGTAAGAGTCATCTTTTCCGGGGTTCTCTGCCACAAAAAGAAACTTAAGTTTACTTAAAATTTGTCTTTAACACCAGCTATGAGTCTGACATGTCCGACAGTTAACAATCGGTTTTTGACCTGATCTCTAAGGAGGCCCTGAGCTCTCTCCACAAGGTGTAAACAAGTCTTGTGTAGAAAGAGACAACACTGACAAGGAGCCACTCACAAGAGAAGCAGTAATCAGGAATGGACTCCCAGGTTTGATAAGCAATTATGACTTACATACCACGGAGAAAAGTCTGGCATTGATGATGGAATGTGCTAGAAATTTCAAGGTTCAAGAAAAGTGAGAGACACCATCTGAAAGGCTCTTGCCCACCCCTCTGACTCTGATCATGTTTGTCTAATCACATTATTGCCTTGTTCTCAATTCCAAAGTGACTTTCCTTTATGCAAGAGATCAAAGCTAAACTCCTTTTGCATTTTAGTCCCCATCCCTGCGTCCAGCCTCCTGTCTTCCTGCTCCCCGTTCAAGGCCACTGGACCCTTCCTGCAGGCTGACACACCCTTCCTTCTCCTCCACGAGCCTGGGCACAACTCCAGGAAAGCAATTATTTTCTTGCACAGTAATGATTGTTTTCTGTCTCTTATCACCCTAGCAAACAGCAAGCTGCTTGAGGACAAAAACCATTTCTTACTATCTTTGTATTCCCAGCCCCTAACACAATGCATGACCTTCAAAATAAATACTCTGTAAGTATCTCTTGAGTGAACAAGAGTGTTCTCCAGTGAAACAGTCTGTATTGGAGACCGGAGGAAAGGGCTTAAAATTTTTTGTCTTAAAAGTAAGAGTAAACACATTCAAAATTACCCTATTTAACAAAAACGCCATGATTGACACAAATACTTAAAATGGAAGAATTTAAATTGCATGAGAAGTTAGCTGTTTCAGGAATTGTCATCCCCAAATGGTAACAACAGTGATGGAAAAAAGACGGGTTGAGACTGTAATTATGGATCAACACACACCAGCCATGGGTACAGAAATTGCTGTTACAGACCAGACGTCTGTGATATTAAAAAAAAAAAAAAAAAAAAAAAAAAGATACGCAAAAATGTTTCTTACTTGTTTTTAAAAAGAATTGATAATGTCTTGGGAATTGTAAAATTTCGCTTTAGAAACAACTGTACTTTTCTTTATGAAACTCTTGGTTTTGTTCTTCAGCTGATGACATTAAGCATGTAAAACAGTATCTTTGCCTCTTAGATCATCTGCTTCTCAATGAAATGAGATGTGTTTATCTTCTTCAGAAATAATTTCCCCTAATTGTGACACAACTAATTCTGTTATTCTCAATACAGGATGGCAGCATCTGTGGCCTAGGGATCGCAGGGGTTACTCGAACTCCAGAGAAACAAAGGATTTGTTTTTCATGACATTCACAAAAACAACCCTATTCTAGAAAATATGATCTCATATTTGAATAAATAAGGAACAGGGTTCTGAAAATTTTACTTAATTCACCACAAAAATGGGAGGATCTTAAACTTCCAGATTTTATAACAGAAAATAATATTATTGGCAGCCTTCAAGAAAATAATATTTAGAAATGTACTGTATTTCAAATTATTAGCTCTTCTTTATAATAACACAACATTCTTGAAATGTATATTTACTATCTAATTGAAAAAACCTTTATATTAACAAACTGATATGAGTTACTACAGGTACAGAGAATGCTAGGGTTCTCGATGTATTCCTAATTCTTAATTTCTTTTAATTACCTTTTCCTTTTGAGCATTTGTAAAGCATTCACCTTAAAAATGACAATTATTTACACCTATAAGCGGTCTTGAAATTGTAGCTTTTGGAGGTGTAATATCTGTAGTTAAAAAAGGAAGAGTGGCCTTTATAAGATGGATCCTCTCTCTGACAACTCCCTGCGGTGTACAGACTCCATTACAAAGAAGTTCTGATCCTCCGTCCCCTCACCTTTAAAAGAACCATCAGGGATGCTATCGCAAAAGGTCACTGCAAACATGCAGCACGCATGCATAGCAGATGTTCGAGAAGCTACTATCCATCCATCGAAGATCAATGCCTCCCAATTTGGCTCCAGCCACACCAACTTTCTTAGAGTTTGAGGGAGGAACTGGGCTCATTCCTGCCCCAGGGTTTTCAACTAGCTGCTCTCTGCGTCTGGAAAGTTGGTCCTCTCCACTTCCGTAACAGCTGCCTCCTCCTCAGCATCCGGCTGTCTGCTCGACCATCACTTCCCCACGCATCCTGTCCGGAGAAGACAGTATCTCCCAAAGACAGTACAGAAGTTATCTCCTGTCTCCCAGGGTCTTCTGCAACGGGGAAGCGGGGATCGGCGTCACTACCCCTTCAACTGGTGTCGGCTGTGACAGAAGTCATAGGAAGCCTATGACAGAGACGGTGGGTGGTTTCTGGAACCAGGCCATAAGAGGAGATACATGCACGAGTGTTTGCAGCAGCATCATAGCCCCAAACTGGAAGCAAAGCAAACGTCCATTGATGGCTGAATGGACACACAAATTGTGGCTTATCCATTTAACTGAATATTACTTGGCCATTAAAAGGAATGCGGTACCAAGAAAATGCTAAAAACATCGATGAATCTTGAAAACCTACTACGTGAAAGAAGCCAGACACAACTGGCTCCCTATTACAGGACTCCACTGACACGAAGTGTCCAGAAGAGTACCTCTACAGAGGCGGAAAGTGGATCATGGCTGCCTGCGGGGGAAGAGGAGATAATGGTGCAGGTTTTGTTGTCAGAGTGATGACAGTACTCTGGAACTAGACAGTGGTGACAGTCACATGCCACTGTGAACATAACAAAAACCACTGCTGAAGGTTAGGGAGGGTGGCCTGTACTCTGATAAAATTATTAAAAATATCCTATGAAAAGGAATTTGCAAAAAACTAATGAAACATTTCTTAATGGTTTACTAGGTGAACAACAACAACAAAAACCTAACAAAAGAAAACAAAACAAAACAAGAGGAAGCACCTTTTGACTCACTAACTAAGACATTCGCTGTGGAACCCGAGGCCGGGGAAGTCTGGACCACAGGGCGAGGCTGAGGCTCTAGGTCAAGGCTCCAGGTGCCTGTGAGGGGAGCAGTAGGCGGGGGCATCGACTGTCAGAGGATGGGTGAGGATGCCTCCCCACCCAGCCTCCAGCCACAGTCACCCCGCCGCTGTGCAGTCCGTCTGGCTGAGGCCCCACGTGCTGTGAGGCAGAGATAAGCCATCCCTGCCATCCCCCCGACTCTGAACCAGAGAGCACATAAAATGCTTGTTTTTTACCACTGGGATTTGGAGTCCTTTGTTACAAGGCCAGAGTAATCTGAACTCTATCTAAAATAGCCACCACACCACATCCTTCCCTTTATCCAGCTTTATTTTTCTCCCCGGCCCTCATATCCATTAGATGACATGAGGGCATTTACTTCTTCACATTGTTTTGCTCCAGAGAGCGGGGTCTTTTGTGTCGTGCTCCTGTAGCCACCTCACCCGCGCAAAGGCCCGACACACGGCAGACACATGATAATATTCGCTGAACACAAATTAACGAATGATTATGGAACCCTCGGCATGGGGAGGTCCACGTCACCTTGGCATGAATTCCAAGACGTAGCTACTGTTTTTTCATTAACTTTCCCTATAAAATACTTTCCAATAATAAAGTATGGAAGCTCACAACACTGCGGATGTCAATTGTCATTATTTCTTTGTTTCAGAGGAAAATTCAAGATGCCTTATAAAACTGCAAACACTCCTGCAGATACTGCGCAATTATTTGATTTTAATAAATGAATCAAAATGGGCATCATCAAGAAATAAAATATATGTGGCCAAAAAATAAAAACTGACTTACTCTACTGAAGTTAGGACTTTGTGCTCATAAAATTTAATTGCTACATATTCTTGCTCTATAATCCCATGCTAAACAAGTGAGAGCAAAGTAGATGTGATTCATGTTGGTGGAACTGAAGCAACAAAACAACGAGCGAAGGGGAAAAAAGAGATAAACCAAGAAACGGACTCTTAACTCTAGAGAACACACTGATGGTCACCAGAGGGGAGGTGGATCGGGGGTGGGGGGTGCCGTGGGAGAAATAGGTGATGGGGATTTGTAAAAATCCACTTATCAGAATGAGCACTGAGTAATATACGAGATGCTGAATCATTCTATTATACACCTGAAATTGCTGTAACACTGTATGTTAACTGTACAGGAATTAAAATTAAGAAAAAGTAGTAGATAGCACGTTTTTTAATGCTAAATGGTTTGCTTTGCAAACCATATGGCCATATTAGTTTTCTCCTACAAATGCAAGCATAGCCTACCTCTGGTGCCAGATACTCTGGTGTGCCACAGAATGTCTTCATGGTGGCTGCATCTGTGATCCCTTCTTTGCAAAGTCCAAAATCTGTAATTTTTATGTGGCCATCTTTATCCAGCATCAAATTCTCCAACTGTGTAGTAAGAAAAATGACAATTTGTTTTATAGTTTTCAAAAATAGGAAAATACTGTTTTGAAAAATTATGGAATGCTGAGTAAGATATTTTGGAAAGAGGACGTAGCTGTAGTTAATAGAACTCGCAGCACTTACAAACCCTATAGCTTCCTAACTCATGTGTAAAAAGAAATCTGTTGTATCAAATACTTCATGATGATAAAATTATTGATTTTTAAACCAATGGGAGTAAGAGCCATTATTGTGTAAGCTCCGAGAACTAAAACCTAAATAACTTCAAAGCAAACAGCAATCCTTTTTTTTTTTTTTTTTTTTTTGCTTATTACATTTTGTGATCTAAACAATCCCAAAGAGACGAGCGTCTTCTTCTAGATATATACAGATGGTTTTCAACAATTGCTCTTGGGAATCTATTGCTATTATAAAATATTCACTTACAGAAATGTTTTTTGGTGGTTGTTGTAAATCAAACCTAAATCTTATTTTGTAAGGTAAGGCGATATCCTCTTTTGAAGATCTTTGTAATAAAGAAATACCAACCCTTTTAAACATAAAAAGAAAAAGAATATCAAAGTCAAACATTCAACAGTTAATGAAAATATATAACACAAATATTATAAAACTGGAATCTCTTTGAACCCATTAATTCAAAAACACCAAAGAGAATTTTAAAGATTTAACTGAGTAGCAAGATTATTTGCCTCAAGTGAAAATTATAAAATGTATGGGGGGGGGAGGAGTTTGTGCAAAATCAGTGCAATTAAAAATAGCAACAATAACTGATCTTCTCCTCCCAATCTGAACCCAAACTTATGATTATCATCACACAGAGATACACATGAGGTCTAAGTTGTGACCTTATAGTCTTATACAGACAAGGCTCCTAAGCTTGTTCGGTCATCTAGGTATAACCTAACGGTTCACACAAGAAACACATAGACAAGAAACATGTGAAAAATGTATTAGCAGGAGAAATGACAATTAGCTTATTTAAGGAGTGGGGACTTATTCTCCTTCATGTGATGACATATGACAGCGCTTACCTGAACTCTGAAGTCACTATCAATTTCAAAACAGAACTCCATATAAGGATATAAACAGTTATCAATCATACAAAATGTGATAGTATATTTTGTCACATTATCCAAAGTCTTATACATGAGAAACCCAATATAATTAAGGAAGTCACGCTCACGGAAGGAAACATGAGAAAAGACCTAAGTCCTTGGGGACAGTACTGGCTGAACTAAGTGCTCAGTACACGTCTCGTGTACTGTAGAAACTTCAGTGAAGCAAGTCTGTCCTTTACAGGTCTACAGGAAGGTGAACGAACCCTAAATAGATTTTTGAAACTTTCAAAAATAGAAGTTATTTTATTTTACCTAAATTCAGATTATTGTGCATCTTCCTTATGCTCCTCTGCTAACTGGAACTTAAAAATCAAACCTAATTTGCACAGATGGCAACAGGTCCTGAGGACTGAAACCAGTCAGAAACATCGAGAAAGAGTCTGTCTACTTCCCTTTCTTCTGATCACCACTCCCTGCTTTGGTCTTTTTTTTCTTCAGGCTTCTGGCTTTTCAGCCTTCTTCCTTCTCTTTCAAAAACACCCGCCTCTTCCCTCTCCCATCTTGCCACACTGAGAAGTATATACCAGAGAGTCTGCTGTTTTGGTTGAATGAAAATATCAATGTCCCGCTCTATTCATTTTTAAAAATATGCACAGTTTTAATATATGAATATTATCATATTAAAAACAGAACCAAATTCAATTCTTAAAATGCTGAAACGTCTTTTAAAAGTATTTAGTAAACCTCTTTTATTAACATACTACATAAATTCTTATAAAAACTTCAAATAAAACATAATAGTATTGAAGAGAATACGAATGTGTGTCTATAGTCCATTTCTTTCCTACTACTCCCGTCTGTGTGGGGAGCATATTTTATTACTCCTCTCTATACGCATTATGTGCATCGGAAATTATTCATGGAAACATGAGAGCATGTACCATTTCTCTACATTTTGACAAGGCTATTTGGAAGCGAATGGAGACAGAAGTTTTTAAAAAACATTGTTCTTTAATACCAAAAAGTGTATTTTTTAAAAATCCCGATCTGCACCTTGTTCTCTAGTCTCCTATCTCAATTCTAAGATGCCAAGGGTTGAGGGACAAGGAATGAACCAAGACTCAGGGTAGGGTTGGAGGAAGGAATACAGTAAACGTGACCATGAGTCCCAGTCTGCCCAGAACGAGGTGGTTTCCCAGGACGCAGGACTTCAAAGTTCTGTAACTGGGAAGTCCGGGGCAAATCAGAACAGGTTGTCATCCTATTTGTTTTATAAATCAGCTTTTTTAAAAAAACAGTACAATAATAAAGGAAGCAATGAGGTCAGACTAAGGGATGACTGTGAGAGGCGGGGTGAGGCAGCACACTGCCTGGGAGGCAGGTGAGAGCCAAAGGGTCACACAATGGGAGTGAGTCAGAGAATGCAAACGTCAGTTCCAGCTTCGCCCTTACTCACTGGGAGACCTTGGGCATGCTGTTGATTTCTCTGTCTCTCAAGTTTGTCTATGAAACAGAGGTAAATAACAGTAGTATCTGATGTGGTTGCTTTGAGAATTAGAGATACTGAATGCGGAACTTTACATACTGTACACATTCAATAAGTGTAATCGATCATTTAGTCAACGTGGAGAGTTTAATGGCTGAATTACAAGTTATCACAATGGTGTGTGCTCCTCGAGACAACACAGGAAAGTTCAGAAAAAGAACACTCTAATCAGCTCAGTGACACTGTCAATATGCAATAATTTCTACTGAATAAAACAACAAAACATAAATACTTCGTATTTTTTGAGCCAGTTTTTAAATGGTGTCCACCTTCTCCCATCAATTACTTTTGCTCTCCGGACATCCTGAAATGTCATTTTACCAAGCATGACTGACAAATACAACTTATCCATTAAAAAGTATCAACAGTCGTCAGAGACATATCACTTTACAGAAAGGATTTCCCCAAACCTAGTCTTGGATAAGGACACATCGGGGCAACCAAACATCCAGTCTTGTTAAAAAATAAATAATAATTCGACACAGATGCATAACCAAGTTTCTGTGGAATATGAAGAACCATCAGCTTCGTGATTAATAAATGTGGAGGTTGTACGGAATCACCTGGAAGTCTTTTCAAAGCAGATCAATGGCTTAGAGCGGATCAAAATCACCTGGAAATCACTTCCTCGATGCATTAAACACTAAAGGGGATTTAGTCGAACATTCTGTGCCAAGGAGAAATGAAATAATTACAAATGATCTCTCCTTGGTTCTCTTCCCTCAATCTCACGGCTCGGCTCTCTCAGCTTGCGTGGGCTGCGAAACCCAGAATGCCCCGTGGTGCTGACTGCTCGGGTCCTCTCTGTTTACAAATTCCAAATCCATCTGCTTTTATCTCCCATCAGTCTTAGTTTCCGAGACTGAGGACAGGCATTATGTTTATGCTCCACGGATGCATCCACAGGCCGAAGCAATGACAAAATCAAATAGGAGGTTTGAGAGAAAAGATTTTATATGAAAAACCCAAGTGATGCTTGCTGTTTGTCCAGTTAGAGAAGGTTGCGTTCTAACAGTTCATTCTCTGAGGAGAGAGAAACTATTTACCTATAGCTCAGAGTTCCCATTCAAAAAAGGCAATGTTTTTCCCCCGCAGAAGCAGACAGCCATTATCTGTTAGAAGGTCTTAATTCAGTGCATATACAAAAAAATGTAATAGATTGTGACATCTTTTTTCCCTCTGTGCTTTGTGGACAAGAAATCATAGCAAGAAAGTACTCTGCTCCTTCTTATTCTTGCTGGTGCGTAGCATAAAACTAAACTCTAAAAATCCTTGCTGTCTTTAATACAGTGCTTCTCAACACTTCCCAGTACGATGAAAAATGAAATTTGTCGGGCGTGAGCAGCATCGGCGGACGAGCTGCTTGAGGCCAGACCTGGCTGGCCCAGAAGCTCCAAGGCTCGGGTCCTCTGTAACCCATCTGTGGTGCACAGGCTGGGAAGCTTTGCTCGGATGTATACCAGGCTGGCCAAGTTTTGTACCCTCCCATAGACGCGCATTCTACTATCTCGCTACCGTAGGTATCTCTTAGGTATCATTTTATTTAAACGGCTGGCACTGTGATTAAACAGAGGAATGAAACCTGCAGTTCCTAAGGGCTCTGATGGCTGTCGGGGCGGGTATGAACTATCCCCTCCACTCGGTCTTGCACCCCATTCTGGCACAGTTACACCAAACCCGATGTGTGGTACCCAGACTGCCTCCGGCCCAAGAACGCGTCAGGAATCTGTCCTCTGCTCACCGCCTTCTCAGGTTTAGGGCCATCAAAGTGCCAACATGTTATACAAGTTGACCTGCAGGACCTTAACAACCCCGAACTTTAGAGAACGTGTGGAAATACTGAAGGAAAACACGTCTCCACTTATGATGCTGCCTAGGCTGGAGATGGCTGCTACTGCACAATGGGGGGGACCCCACTTAGGGGGCCAGGCTGCTTAAGAACTAGACTACACACAAGGAACGCAGCCCAGTAGTACAATGTAATTTTAGAGGGTCAAGAGGTTCTTAATAGCAGTGGCTTAAGATTTTTACTGAAGAGAGAATCCAGAGTAACAGGTGAGAAGTGGGAACTGGGCGAGGGGTGCCGAGACTCCGTAGGTAAAGCAAAAAGAACTCGGCTTTTGGTTAGACTACGGGTTTATCTGGGGCGCGTGTCGGGCGGCGGATGAAGCCGGGGAAGACTCGCGGCCCATCGTTCTGGGCCCACATGGAGACCCGGAAATTACCTAAATCCATTTGTTGGTTTTCTCATGTTAATAATGTAAATGGTTACATTAACCACTAAACTCTCTAATTAGATAGAAAATAAGATTAGATGAATCACCAATAGAATGTAGCGATTTATATGTGATTTTCTGCCCTTTCTTGCCCTGTTACAAACTCCCGGAGAAACTGAATCTTCAAGAACTCCGGTATCCTTATAAGCACCTTTGCATACACCCCCATACAGCCTATTCTGTACTTGGACGGTGTTGCCTTTGAAAAGAAAGCTTCCACCTGCCAAGTAAGAACTAAGCAGAAAGGAAGATTTCAATATATTTTGCATTGCTGACAGAATCTTAAAAGGGATTTCTTCAAATGTTGATGCTTTCATGAAGAGACACTAGTTTTCCCTAAGTAATCACAAGGGATCTGAGTCCTAAGAGAGAATTTCGTGTTATGGCAAATATTGATAAACTAAGCAAATTTACTTTTAGAAGTGTCACAAAGATCGTAGTAATTTATCTGCTGCCATGAACACCAACTTATTAGGAACTCTGAACTGATAAAATATCTTAAATTAACTTGCACATGAAGTAAGGCTTGCCCTCCCATGATACATGGGGCGTCAGCAAACAGGTACAGATTTTCTTGGGAGGCACAGCTATGACGGGCATCGGATGGGTTTGCATTTGAGTAAACATGAGGTCATTAGTAAGGAGAGGATCAAGACAAATCTGAGCCTGATAAATTAAACTGTGCCTAAATCAGTTCTGACAATGCGGTTTTTGATGTATCTGGTGTAAATGTATTCAAAACATCCAATCTCGTATCTTTAGCAGCTTCATTCGACTCTTGGATTTACAAAGATCTCCCAGAGTTAATCTAACGCATTCCTTCTCCATGAAGATTTCAACTCTAGAAAGGCAGAAGGGTGTGTAAGGAGCAGGACACCGGGCCTGGAGCAAGGATTTGTGGTTTCCATAATCTTGCCCATGTCACCAACTTAGTCCTGGACTTCAAGTAAGACACCTGCTAGACTTCCGGGTTTCCGTGACCTCACCTGTCGAGTATGGAACAACCTGAAATGTCGGCCCACCTACAGGATCTCATTCTATTACACGTAAGCCTGTGCACTATGGATACCAGTAACACTTGTATAAATCTGAACGCTTGGCTTTTAACATTACGTGTATTCTTCCTGGTGTGTGTTTGTGTGGCTTCTGTCCTATGTTATATAATTACTTAGACCTGAAGTTAATACTATATTTAATACTATATTAAATACTATATTTTAATAATGAAGTTAAATACTACATTTTAAAAAAGTAAACTTAAGAGAGCAGAGACCACCTCACTGTCTAGTGAAGTCAGAGGATATGCATACGGTAACTACATGGTCTGGTATTCATACGTACCAAAATTCTGCTTAAGAATTTTGGTCTAACTCTAGCATCAGAAAGGACACAGCAATGAAACTCCTATTAAATGCACTTTGATATACCAACATGTCCATTCATCTCGGAAGGAATCATTAACAAAGACTACTGACCAAGACCATCCCCATTATATCATTCCTTAATCGATCCTGGTGATCAAATGGGCATTCTTTCCCTTGTTTCTTTAGGTTAATAGTTTTGCTTCCAGCTCAAGCATTTTGAAAGTTACTGAGTCCCTCCAAATGATTCCTACTTCCTTAAATCGAGGAAACACCCCCCTTTTTCCCTACAACTAGAATCCATAAAAGATAACACTTCAGGCAAGGGGAGAGCAGCCTCAGAGAAGAGCGAACTATTTCTAAGTAAGTCTGGAAACGCAACATAACTTGTAAGTTTCATCATGCCATGGAACTACTTTCTTGAAAAAACATCTAGATTCAAGATCATCGGATTACTTGGCCGCAAAGACCTAAACTACAGGGGCTTAATTCTGTCACATTCCTGGTTATAAAGACTTCAGGTGCACTTTGGCGTTTGGACATCAGCTCATCCCCGATCTGGTGGATCAAAGCTGCATAGTTCATTTTTCCTAAATAGAGTATTTATAGCTTCTTTTAGACTTGAACGCATAATACATCATACAAACATACATACTATAAATCTCACTGTCTGCATGCAGATAGTACTTTGTGAGAGGGTTATGCCTTAGGGTCATTCATAGCCTAAAGGTACATGACAACAACACCCTGCAAGAACCAGACAAGTGCTTAGTTAACTTAGGAACCACAGGTGTTTAAAAGGAGTGAGGCAGGAGCGAGGGGTAACTGTGATTTCTTTTAGGGTATGGAGATATATTTCGTACAGATGGGATTTCATAAAAGATTTCTATTTCTCCAAATCAAATCATACTTTAAGTGAACTAATATTTACTAAATTAAGCAACTTTGTATCAAATCTTAATAAGTCAAGATTACTGTATGCTTTACTTTTTACAAAAGTACGAGAGTCACATTTAGACTGTGTTCAAAATGTGTCACGGTGCACATTTCCTTAATGTGGCCGATCTAAGTCAAAACAGTCTCGTGAACTTCACTATGACCTTCCATGAGCTACTCCGGGGCTCAGCAAACTATGGCCCGTGAGCAAAGCTAGCCTACTGCTTATTTTGGTAAATAAAGTTCTAGCTCAAGCATCTACCGTCCTACAGGACCGAAGCGTAGGAGTTACAGAAGCGCCTATGGACACCCAAGCCTTTCTGGACCTTACAGAAAGTATGCCAACCCCTGAGCTATTTCGAGGTTCTCGTCAGGAAGGAACTCAGAGAAGTCAAGTCACTACTGTCCAAAAAACAACATGGAGCTTTTTGAAATGGAAAATGAATGAATCAAAAAGGCTGTATTAAAACGTTCCTGGTTTTTAAACCCACCACAAAGTGAAGACCAAAATCAAATTAAATACATCCCCCCCACAAGAAATATCTTACATATGATAAAAGTTTCTCCATAACACATCACAGGACGGTAGAATGTAATAATTAAAGTTACTTTAGAATGTCCCTGACAAAGTCACTTGACTCTGAATTGGATGTTTACCATTGCCCGTAAATTTCCAGAAAAATGAAACTGTCATGGGCAGGTCAGAGCTGTCAAGCAGAAATTACGGCGCACGTCAAAAACTCAGACATGAAGGACCTACGTCCGTATCAGTGAATGGAATTCCTGTCAAATGCAATGAACTACGTTCTTAAACAGACTGCTTTTTTTTTCCCAACTAAATCTGCTTTTCTCCAAACTCTGTAACTTTGTAATTACTTTGTGTTTGTCCCTATAGTCTCTGCAAAAACAAATTTTGATTACTTTTTTTTTTTTTTTTTTTACCTTGAGATCACGGTACACAATCTTTCCGGAATGTAGATAGTCCAAAGCAGAGACAATTTCTGCACCATAGAAACGTGTGCGGTCCTCGGAGAACACCCGCTCTCTCGACAAATGGAAAAACAGCTGCAGGGTAAACAGCAGGGACAGGATTGTAATAATTACTGATTTAGTGGGGGAAATTAACACAAACATAAAACACCTCTCATCACCATATTGTGATGATAGATAGTGTACTCTCAGCGGACACGGAGCACTCTTACACAGCAGCTGGCTTATCTTCTCCAGGTTTCCAAGGGGAGACTGCGAGCTGTTAAATCAGCGTTTTAATCAATATACCAATCTTGTTTAAGGCATTCTGCTTGCTACCCATTTAACCTTCAGTTACTCGAGGAAAAAAGTATGCATCATCAGACTGCATTTTCCCCTCGCTATACTGTCGCTTCACTCTTTCAAGGATGAGGCACTGAGACATGATTAAAATAAATGTACACAACAGAGATGTAATATTTCTACTTAATTATTTGATTTACATTTGATTTCAAAGAAAGGACTGCTGATTTGCCAAAATTGATGGATGGGAGCTTGCTACATTCTACAAGCATCCTGGGCTCCTCGGATCTCTAGAAATGTTTTCAAAGTTTGAATCAAGGTTTTCTACAATGACAAATCATAAGGCTTCAAGTTTTCACTTTAGTAATGGCCAAAAGGACTGAGAAGCTGCCGTTACCTCTCCTTACTTCAGTAATAACCACAACACCAACCTCCCCTCATAGAATCATTTAAACCACACGCTCATCCACTTCTCTTCGTCACCTACAGGACAGATCACTCCTCAGTCAACAGACATTTCCTGGGAGCTCACTGCGGCCACACACGCAGCTCTCCATTTAGACTAGCTCCTTATTTATGAAACTGCCCATCTCATCTCAGTTCAACACGGCATATGGGGAAGGAGCAGGTTCCTGGCACTATGAATTGACTTTCAATGTACTGTTTCACTGTATTAAGAAATCTGCCAAGAACAATGAAAGATCTTGATGGTGCTGGGTACACGGCTAGATATCACTGTAGGTATTCAATACACGTCTGTGATTAAAAAAAAGAACCCATCAGTGTATCCTAGACTAAAAGATCAGAAATTAACTACACCTTCACATGGATTATGGACTCTTGGTGCTCCAACAAATGTCTAAGAATGATGGTTAATGAAGACTTGTTCCTCACACACCAAATCATAATTTAAGCAACATAAAAACAGATTTCTTCTGACATATTTCTTCCTTTTTTCCACCTCCACTGAAGAGTCTATCATTATTTTAAGATCTATTTTATCCATAACCCACTGTCACAATAAAGATCAGGAGGGAATATGACTTAACATTAGTTATAGTAAAACTAAAATACTTGGCAGACAGTCTCTAAACTCTAATGCTCTCTACTTTCTTGTCATATTTTATCAAATCTAAGATGTTCCTGATTGGAACTCCATCATCATTTTAAGTTAATACTAAGAAACAAAAAAAAGTTGTCAATTCAAGCTATAATAAACCATCAACTATCAAAGGAATTCTGACTGCAGAAATGGTAAATATGTCTTACAAATGATCCAAGATAGTATGCCAAGAATCAAACCAATATGTACAATTACTCAGGGATATCTCAAAATTTATTCATTTTATATAGGCAGATACATTTTCTTAATGTATTACCATCCAAATGAGGATGAGAAGTAGAAAGAAGCATGTATCATCAGTAAAGCTATTCTGAAAAATGTCTGGGTCAAAATAACTTCTGCCATGCTTTATCCAAAATACCGCTAGCTTGGATGAAGGAGCCCCTGTGATCTCTGTGTAGATTTGTGGCAATCCTCTAATGGGATGAAAATATTGTTTAGATTTCTAAATTTTTCAAAAAAAATGTCAAGTTTACTACTTACATATCTACTGTATAAAAGATATAGAGCCTCACTAAATCAATATAATACATGCAGGCTTCGAGATCTTTATTTGGACCATATTCTTCAATTTGTCTCCCAGCCAAATTTCTATATAAATATCAGCTTAAAAAATTATGCTTAAGGAGAAGAACTCTATTTCTCAATCTGCTGTCCTGTCATGTCTACCCTTGTTACCTTATAGAACTAATTCTTGCTAAGATTAACCAAGGATCTATCTCTTAATTGCCAAATATAATGATCTATTTATAGTCTGCCCTTCTTCCTGGTCTGGACCTGAGGACGCTGGCTGTTGGCCTCCTCCTTGAACATGTTCCTTGGCTTTGGTGATACATCTCTCACCTGATTTTCTACCTAAGTCTCTGGTATTCCGTCTCAGTTTCTACCTTGGCTTTGAATCAACTTTCCACTTAGTGAGTATTAATTATTTTAAAGTCACTGTGTTGGGCACTAGTTAGAGAAAAAGATGGCATACAGATGTAGAGAAATCAAATAAAATAATAAAAGACTAAAACACAAGGGGAAAGGGGGAAAGGACATAGATAATTAAAATGAGAGGAATACAAATGAATACAGTTCATGAAAACATGCCATCTTACAATAATCAATGAGAGCAAGATAAAAACATAAAAAGACAATTTAGCATATCCAGAAAGAGCATTGTCACTGAAAGGGTTGGGAGATGAGTATCTTCATACACTGGTAGCTGGGGTATAAGCAGAGAGCAACTCTTCACAGGGCAATTGGCAATAGATACTAAGATAATTTTTAAAGTACTATAGTTCCTTCTTTAGAAATTTCCTTTTAAAAAGGGAAATGCAGAAGTCTTTGACAAAAAGATATCCTCTGTAGCAGTATATATGAAAAAAAATGCAAAAACAGTCTTCATACTATATTGAAAAATTAGATTTTCATCTAATATTGTATCAAAATAAATCCCTGATGTAGTCATAGTTAAATATAAAATATTAAACTAATTAAGATTTTAACTAGAAAACAAGGATTAAAAAGTTCACGGGACCAGACTTACCCTCTTGCTGTACACAACTGGGCAAAAACACATAAAACAACAACAACAAAATGACAACTGGGAAAAGTATCTAACAGAATTCTCTTTAACTACTGGACAATGGGCAGTACAGGACCAAGATCTTTGTGAAGAGAGAAACAAATGAGTGAGCCCTAAAACCAGTTGCCTTCTGTCCGAGGCACTTTATGGAACATACCGGCAGGAAAGGACTGATCCCAAGCATAACCCAGGTCTCACCGTTGGAGAGTGAAAAGCAGACTTCGCGGAGGATGAGGTAAAGGCATTTGCAGGACAGGATGAGCCCCAGTGAGAAGGAAGCTACACAAAATCCATAGTGGAGTCTGCTGCGGAGTACGAGCAACGCGCGTGTAAGGTTAAAGTCTGCGAGAACAAGCAGAGAACAAACGGAGGTCTGCACGCCCCGTGACTCCCGGAGCTCACTCAGAGCTGAGACACATCCAGTTTCTGACCAGTCAGAACCACGTCATCACGGAACAGCCAGGCATTCAGGAGACATTTCAAAAACAGTCAAAGGTAAACCCACAAAAGCTAGCAAATACGGAGAAGACAACAAAATCCAGGCATTTGTGTAAAATTCCAGTGATCTGGTATCCGTCAACAATTACCAGACACAAGGAGATGTAGGAAATATGACCCATAACCAAGAGAAAAATCAGTCTTTAGAAAGACCTTAAGAACAGCAGATGATAGAATTAATTAAGACTGACTTTAAAACATTTCATGAAAAGAAAGAGAAAGGAAAATATAAGTAGAAATAAATGGGACTTCTAGAGACAAAAAATAATAATAAATGCATAAATCTGTGTGTCTCGATGAATCCCGATATGATGAAAACTCATAAACACGCACAAACAACTGGAACAGAAGGCAGAGCACATTCAAATCACAGAAAAACCAGTGACAGAAAACCCTTTAAAAATACTGAGGGGGGAGAAACATTACATACAGAGGAACAAATAGGAGAATAATCCTTGCCTTCTAAGAGGCTAAGGGCCTTCTAAGGGGCAAAAAGGCAATGGAACTATACATCCCAATGGCTAAATGAAAAACAAAAACATATCTTAAAATTCTGCATCCAGTGGGAAAATCCATCAAAGAGGAAGCACATGTATGTGAGGAAAATGTTGAGGCCAGGGAAAGAGACAATGGAAGAGGTCAGATGAAGTGATCGCAGACTCGCACGAACTCAAAGTACTTTGCCTCCTCAGCTGGCAGGACGGAAAGGCTTCCTAAGAGATTTGGTGGTGGCCAGGAGTGTCTGGGAGGTTACTGCCTCCGTAGCACAAAGGCCAGGGTGGCCAGGCTTGGCTTAAAAGCTAGCCTGGAAAAGATCACTGCTATTGAGTCAGACCAACCTGAGAAGAACAAGGAAATTATAACCCATTACTGGAGAAAAATCAATGAACAGAAACAGACTCAGAAAGTGACATAGACAACAGAATAGAAGAATACTGTGATAAAGCAGCTATTAAGATATGGTCTCGAGGTTCAAAAGGTAGAGAGAGAAGCATAACAGGGAAATAAATGGGAAGTATAAGAAAAACAAAGTATTAAATAAAACCCTAAGAGATAAAGTCTGAGATGTCCTAGATGAAAAATGAAAAACTGGATTGAATTATCACCTTGCTAGACCATAGGGGTTAAAAAAATGATAACAGACTTGAAGACGCAGGAAACAAATCTAAAATTAAAGACAGGAAAACAATAATGGAAATGATGAACCGAGCATTAATAAACTGTAGGACAGTATCCTGCAGGCTAAAAGATGCATAAGTACACTCTTGGGATAGGACACAAGAAATGAAAGAACAACAACAACAAAAAACTTAACCAAAAAGTTTTCAAATTTGATGAAAACTATAAGCCTACAAATTCACAAAGGCTTTAAAAAAACCCAACAGAAAGAAATGTGAAGAAAATCCTACAAGGCACACCATAATTAAATAGCTGAGAGCAAGTGCTAAAAGGAAAGCGTAACAGGACGGGGGAACTCGGTGAGCACATGGAACAAAGAATGAGAGCAGACGACTTGTCAGAAACTGTGCAAACCAGAGAAAGAGGAGAGGCATCTTTGTAGTAATTAAATATAGAACTGGCAAACTACAATTTTATACACAG